TTGGACGATGATGACTCTTGGATTTCTTCTCTACCAGTGGAAGACAAGCAGGAAGACATAATTGAATCTGAGTCGCCAAATGAAGACGACATACTCGCGGAGCAGATCGTCTCAATGACCATCAACGCCGTTCCAACCCCCGCAAAGTCCAAAGTGTCCCTGATAGAAAGGACCCGTCAATCGATGGCTTTGGCCAGCCCTGTCGGGCTGCAGAGTTTGCTACCAGAAGGACCTCCCTCAACGCCATTGCCTCCTATAGCCTCCAAGACATCACATCCAACTACCGATCCTAGCGGTCCAACGACCCTCCTCGAGCGCACGAGACAATCAATCTCACTGGTACCCTCAATTCCCAAAGGATCTCGCAAATCCATGCTTGACCGCCGCACTTCCAAACCTTATCCCACAAATCAGTTTGAAACACCCAAGAGACAGCTGGAGAGGGTGACAGAATTGACTCCGCCGGAAGAGCTATTCAGTCCTGGAGCAGGGTATGATAGCGTCTTCAAGAGTAGGCCGAAAATTGCGTACAGTCCGAATCCCTCGCCTAAGCCTGGTGATGATCCCGAGGCGGATGCTGCTGAAGGCGTGAGGAATGGCAATGGCAGGGTTAGGAAGGGGCAGAGGGATGCATCGCCACTAGCAAGGATGACGACCAAGGTCTAGGGCTTTTGCTTGCGGAGAAAGTAGCTTCAATAACTAAATTGAAGACCCTGAGTGCTATCTGTCATAGTCTTCGCTGATATACATTATTATGTTCGCACTGCTGATATTCCGCAGCTTTGAATACAGTAGCACGTCTCCTTCCTCGCACGTGATAGATCTGCTTGCCCGCCAGGATGTGCCCGGCATGACGAAGAGACTACTAGGTGCCCTGATTCTTAGATAATCTCCAAAGCAATGGTCAGAACAGCGTTTCTGACACCGGGCGTGCTTCCCTACACGACCCAGGCAAATTCCAAAGACAGCGACCTTTTGCCGCACAATGCAGTGCCACGGGCTGAATCAGTAGCACAGATTCCGGAGGCCCGCAAGCGGTGTCTCTTTCGAGGTCCGTCGAAACGCGGGAGTGACGACGACGCCATTCACGATTTGCAGACTTGATCGAACCTCTTGACGAGCTCCTGTGACCACGTATCGTTAGCGTCGACAACCCGAGACCAAGTCCGTGACGATGGACCGGAACACTGGTCGTACCTCGAAGTCGCAATCGTCCATGCTTCCAAACACCGCGTGCTTCCCCAGCTTCTCCATGGTCACCCTCGGGCTCGATATCCCAAAGGCAACCCTGGCCAAGAATCGCGCGTCGTCCCGGACCGTGGTAGCAGCCAGAATCGCCTTGATCTTCCGCTCGTCAATACGCCCTTTGCGAGTTTGGTTGTGCGCTTGGATGAATTTGACTTGGGTTTTCGTAAGACAGAAGTTGCAGTGTCCACAACCTCCTTTGGGCACAGTACCATCGTCCGCGAAATGTCTGGCCAGTTCCCGACTCAGGCAGCCCTTGGTGGTGACGAGGTCGATAACTTGCTGGACTCGTTCCATGTCGCTCTTTTCTCTGGCCTCAATCTGCGCGTAGATAGATGTGGTTATCTGACTCTTCGCCTCTTCCCCTTGCGGGAAGTCTTTGAGAACGCGGAAGCGGTTCACCACACCACTTGGCTGTAGTTCAATAGCTCCAGAGTCGTTCCATTCTTGCAGTTTCTTCACCGCGTCCGCTCGCTGGAAGCCTCCGCTACCAGCAGCTGCGTCGACGTCGATTCGCGTCCACTTGTGGGCAGTCTTGCTCATCTTTTTGAGTGCCTTGGTAACCGGAGAGCCATCCGCAGTGCGGCTCTCGAAAGCTGGAGACTTGATGTATTTATACTCGGAATACTTGGGCGTGATTGCCCTGATGAGCTCAAAACGAAGCTCGAGCTGCGCGTTCAAGAGATCCAGTGCATTTTTCTAGAGGAAGGTAAGGGGTTTTTTCCGCGTAATTTAGGAGTTAGGGAGGCTTACACGGATGTCCCACTCCCTAGACTCCTCATTCAGATTCCGTTCAATGACATCCCCTGCCTTAGCATATCGGTGGAGTTCCAAGAACTCCCCTACCAAACCTTTGACACTCCTCAGGCTTGGCACGTCGGCCCTAGACCATTCCTCCATGATCTTGATGTCCTCGGCGCAAAGATAGATCATGCAGGCACTCTCCAGGCCATCACGTCCAGCGCGGCCGATTTCTTGGCTGTAACCTTCAAGGCTCTTGGGAACGGCGTAATGGACAACGTTGCGGATGTTCGATTTGTCTATACCCATACCGAAGGCGATCGTAGCGACGATGATGATGTTATCTGAGGCCATAAACTTGTCTTGAATCGTGGTCCTAGCGTCATTTGCCATTCCAGCATGATATCCATGGGCATTGAATCCGTCTCGTTTTAGACTTGCAGTTACAATGTCCGTTTGCTGTGTGAGGATTAGAATCTCTGCACTTGCAATGAAGGTGTCATACGTACATCATGTGTTTGAACGTAGACTATGGAAGGTCCTTTATGTTTTTTTAAGAATGTTTTCAGAGCTTCCTCCTTGTCCTTAGCAGACTCGAAGGACTGAGCGAGCAGACGTAAGCTGTAAGTATATCAGTCCCCCAAACATTGTTGCCCACGTCAGACAATGCAGTGCGACTTACTTCTGGCGATACGTAGTGGTGCGAAATACAGCCGCTGGGTCTATGTTGAAGGCAGTACAGATATCCACTGCAACCTTAGGGGTAGCCTTCATACAGTTAGCGATCTACATCATGCGTGAGGACGCAACAGACGGGACGGAGTCACGTACTGTTGCGGTCAAGCACAGGACTCTTTCCGCTTGGACCTCCTTTGCAAATCTCGCAACTTGGACAATGCTTCATCAGTGTACGTCTGCAGAGGCGATGGTGATGGGAAACTTACCCTTCAAATAGTCAGGCCGGAAAGCATGACCCCATTCGGAGATACAATGCGCTTCATCAATAGCAATCAAGCGGACTTTAGTGGCGTTGATCATCTCAATAAAACCTTCGTTATTGAGCCTTTCGGGGGCCACATACCTAAAAGCACGTTAGTAAGCATACCTATTGGATGATGGTATTGAGCACGACTTCTCGAAGAAATATTTCTCGTGCAGAAGTCCTATGGGGCTACACTCTAGATCTTGTAGACCGAGGGTCACTGACAGATACTCAGAACATGATTGGAGTAAGATCTCCTCAGGAATACTGTGCTGAAGACGTATCAAACGGGAGACTGACACCTCTGAACTTCCCGGGTAGGGAAATGAAATTTCTTTGATGTCTAGGTTCCCAGAGACCGAGAAGAGACGCCAACCGAACAAGGTAACAGGAAACAGCTAGGCGCATATCTTCCAAGGAAGTGGATATGAAGTTGACCATATGAGTCGAGTGAGAGCTTGGAAACGTGAAACAAGATGCAAGTTGAGTAATGAAACCTTGACTTACAGCAGCTTCAGCTCTTCTTTTCGTAACTTGTCGCACGTATCAAGCCATGCTTCTCGAGTCTGAGACGAGTCCATGGCAGCAGCACAAACTCCTCGCTTTCTCAAGGCATCTACTTGGTCCTAGTGCTAGTTGTCAGCTTATGGCTCTCTCGTTGATCGCTAAAAGTACGGTCCATCTTTGGATATAGCTGTTCGAGAAGTATCTCACTTTCATGAGCGCGATCAATGGGCTGACAACGAGAGTCACTCCTCCACCTCGTGGGCCACTGTATAGCTCGTCATGATAATCGAATGCCAAAGCTGGTATCTGATAGACCAGGCTCTTGCCTCCCCCTGTGGGAAATACGACAACGGCACTATCCCCATCAATGAGCCGGGCAATCGCTTGTTCCTGCTTATGTTTGAACTCAGAAAATCCCCAGGTGTCTCTGAGGATCTTCCGAGCCAGTGCAATCGAGGTCGATCCATTCTCTGTTTTGAGTTTCTTCAAGGGAGACCCGTCCTGGAAATCGAAAGATCTCTTCAGGTCTTGACTAGACAGACCGATAGTAGCATCGGACGTCTCAGCCAGGATCAAGTCTTCATCGTCGACGTCCCCAAAGTCATCCTGGTTCTGATCATATTCAAGATAGGAGGTCATACTCGTCAACAATGACGGCAAGGCATCCGAGGTCATCGAGCCCGGGTTCTTGTTGGTTTGGAACCTCTCTATGTCTTTGAGGAGCTGGGTACGGTGATCACTGTGGCCTTGCGGCCCCGAGATTGCAATTGGCATGGTATAAGAGAGGCTGTGACATATGTTGGAGAACAAGTTCGCGTTGGGTTTCAAGGCCGAGGCAGCGCGTCTTGCAAAAAGCGCGTTCTTTCCGAGGCATTACTCTAACCCCATCGAATACTCGTAGGCGCAAGCTGAAAATTCGAAAGGAGGCAAGCTGAAATATTCCAATCCCACGCGTTATAAGCCTACAAGCTCGAAAGCTCTTGAAGTGCACTCGCTCTTCCAGCAGCTGGTACATGTATACTCTACCGTGTAACATCTTTGCCAAGAGCGATCTCAGCCTTATCTCGTTAGACTACTCTAGCTTCCGCAGATCTGAGACCCGTGAAAAGACTAGACTACCAGAACGATGGCATTGTGGTCACGATGGGTGAATATCATCTGTGAGCAATGATAGATGATCCTGCTGTTTGCTTAAGTATATACTCAACAAGAAACATGTCAAGCTATAACTCACAAATCTCTCACTACACTTATCTAAACGAGGACACGAATAGCTAGAGCATCTTACCAATAAACTCCTTCCCTGCCTTGTTTGTTGCCTTAACCCGTCAAGCTGGCTGTCTCCAAGACCGTACAAGTAGCTACCCTTTCCTTTTTCCTCTTCATCGGCATCCTTCTCGTCCTGGCTCCTCCTTCCCGCTTCGTCTCAAGGGTTTCGGCCATCTTCGATCATCTCGCACCCTTGAGCACCAAGTCTAGCCTTCGACCAACCACTTCAGCCTCAAGGCCACTTACCACTTCAGCTATGGCACCTCAAGGCTTCAAAAAGCCGCCTCAGGCTCCCCCTCTGTTTACGGGGACTCCCAAGTCGGTGATTGAGGACACGAAACGGCTCATTGAGAGGTCGAGAAGCACAGAAAACAAAGTTGTGGCAGAAGTCAAACCTCATGATGCAACTTTCGAAAAGGTTCTGTTGCCTATGGCTTATGATGAGAACGATTTTGGCCTCGAGGCACACATCATTGGATTTTACCAATCGGTATCAGCTGATCAAGCTCTACGAGATGCATCTACAGAGGCCGAGAAGCTCATGGACGACTTCTCCATTGAATCATCAATGCGGGAGGATGTATTCAAGCTTGTGGAATCAGCCTTCAGTAAAGGTGATAAGCTGGACGCTGAGTCTCAAAGACTACTAGAAAAGGCACATAAGGAATACATCCGCAATGGGCTAGGGTTACCAGCCGGGCACAAAAGAGATCGATACAAGGAGATCAAGAAGAGACTTAGCCAGCTCTGCATTGTCTTCTCGAAGAATCTGAATGAGGAGATTGGAGGAATCTGGTTTACCTCAGAGGAGCTGAAAGGTGTCCCGGAAGACGTAACGTCTCTTTTTGAGAAGGGCAAGGGTGAGAACGCCGGAAAATTGAGAATGACATTCAAGAAACCAGACTACTTTCCTACTTTGAAATATGCCAAAGACCCAGCTACGAGGAAGAAGGCCTACATTGATGACAACAATAAGCTGCCTCAGAATATACCGATATTCAGAGAAGTGATCATTCTACGCGATGAGGCTGCTCGACTTCTCGGATATCCCAATCATGCTGCCTTCATTATTGAAGACAAGATGGCCAAGACCCCAAAAACAGTCGATGATTTCCTAGGCGATTTAAGACAGCGGCTTACAAAAGGAGGCACTTCAGAGATCAACACTCTGACGGAATTGAAGAAACAAGACTATAAGTCCTTAGGTTTGGAGCAGAAGTTTGATGGGAAATACTACCTTTGGGACAACCGCTACTACGACCGCTTAATGCTTGAGAAAGACTACTCTTTGGACCAGGAAAAATTCGCTGAATGGTTTCCGCTTGAAACATCAATCCGCGGCATGCTTACTGTCTTCGAGACGCTATTTGGCCTGATGTTCGTCGAAGTAACCGGCGGTGACCGCTCCTCTATCTCTCCGTCTGGCAAAGGCGATGATATCGTCTGGCACCCTGACTGCCAGGTTTTCAGCGTCTGGGACTCCGAAGACCAAGGCAGCGGCTTCGTCGGCTACCTCTACTTGGACCTCCATCCTCGTCAAGGTAAGTATGGTCATGCCGCAAATTTCAATATCCAGCCCGGCTTCATAAATGCAAATGGCACGCGCCACTACCCTGTTACAGCCCTTGTGTGCAATTTCTCAAAGCCGACACCTAAGAAGCCGAGTCTCCTAAAGCATGAAGAGGTCACTACCCTCTTCCACGAACTCGGTCACGGCATTCATGACCTCGTCTCCAAGACGCACTACTCCCGCTTCCATGGTACAAACGTCGTCCGCGACTTCGTCGAAGCCCCCTCTCAAATGCTCGAAAACTGGTGCTGGACTCCGTCCCAGCTCAAAGCATTAAGCCACCACTATTCCACCCTCTCTCCAGAATACGAAGCTGCATGGCGTGAACAAGCCGGCAAAGACGCATCAACCCCCGAGAAGAAATTACCAGACGAGTTGATCGAGAACCTCATCAAGACCAAGCATGTTAATGATGCGCTCTTCAACCTCCGACAGTTGCACTTCGGCATCTTCGATATGACAATCCACGAGCCAAAAAGCCACGAAGAGGCAGAAGCCTTCAAGCTGAGCGAAATGTACAACAAGCTCGGCTACGAAATCACCCAGCTCGACTCGCCAGCCCAGCTAGGCGCAGGCTATGACTGGGGTAAGTGCTTCATTCCCCCTTTTCCCGATCCCTTTCCCCCTTGTCTGAAGTCCATACTAACCATACGTTCCCTCATCCAGGCCACGGCGAAACAACCTTCGGCCACCTCCTCGGCGGCTACGACGCCGGCTACTACGGTTACCTCTCCAGCCAAGTCTACAGCGCCGACATGTTCCACACCGTCTTCGCCAAAGATCCCATGAACCGGGAAGAGGGCAGGCGGTACAGACACATGGTGCTCGAGAAGGGAGGGAGCCAGGATGAGATGGAGACGTTGAAGGGGTTTTTGGGGAGGGAACCGAACGGGGATGCGTTTTATCGGGAGCTGGGGCTGGCGTGAGGATGGCGGTGGTGATGGGGGAGGGGGAGGGGAAGAGAAGAGAAGAGGGGCTCGTAAGGGGATTGGCTTGGCGAGAAACGGCGTGTATGATATCCGTGACTTTGGGTGGCCTTTGAGCATGATCCGTTGCGGCTTGGCTTCAGTACTTGGTATATCTCATTCTTCTATGGCAACAAACGGAAAAGTTCTGACGCTCGAAGGAATCTGTGTCCCAGCATAAATGACTCTTCTATCCTGCTTCCTAAACAGCGGAGAGTCTAGCCTTTCATAAAGCCATACACCGACCTCTAAGCCTCAGCTTCCACCTCCTCTGTCCCATTCTCCTGCGCCTGCCCCTCCGCATCACCATTCACACCATCCTCCGCAGGAACCTCCTCACTCACATCCACCAACGTCTTCGTCTTCCCCTCCCTCTCCATCGTCAGATACTCATCCCATTCAGGGAACAAATCCGCATCTCCGTCCCCATCGGCTGGCGGTACGCCCAGCATCCTGCTCACTTTACCCTTGGAGCTCTTCTCCAGCCCCTCCTTCCACCGCGCAACGACTTCCTTACATCGACTTGGCTTGTAAGTCTGCGTAAAAAGCACAGCCTCGGCGGTTCGGTTGGTGCGAACAAGGAGGTCAATGCAGCCATCGATATCGCCCAGGTGCCAGAAGCAAGAAAACGAGATGTTGTGAGATCCCGCAAGATCTGCTTGAGCGGTCAATTGCCGCAGTCCATCAATATTGTTAGTTGCCGTGTGCAACAGCAACAACGACCCCATATCCTTAGCGTTGGAAAAACACTCTTCGGCCAGCGCAAGGTCCCAAGCCGTAAGCGCAGCATCGCCAACGGTTTTCCATCTATGCTCGACATCAGCTTCGCGAGCGATTTCAAGAGCGACGGGAAGATTGTTGAGGGCGAGAGCGAGATCGAAGCGATGTTCCGGGTCCGTCGCGACCTCGAGGGCCATTTCTTTATAGCCTTGCCCCTCAAGGAAACGGGCGATTTTATTCTTCTGGTCATCCGCAACGTCTTCGAGAATTTGAGCAGCTGAGTCCATGTCGCCGCGGAGGACGAGGGTCTGGTATTCGACGACAGAGAGGGAGAGAGCGTAGGAGATGACATTGACGTCTTTGTCGGCCACGTACGCCTTGCCATCGCGAGGAAGGTAGCCGAGGAGGTACATGGGCTGGTCGAAATGGGAAACAGTATAGGTTTGGTCGCCCACGAGGTAATTGAGGCGGTTGGTGCTGTTGGTGTAGATGAAGCAGTCACCGACCCATTGGCCTGTGCGGACGGACTCATTGATGTCGGTCACCACTTCGAAGGCGGCTTCAACGCCATCTTCGTCGCCGAGACCCTGTTGGAGGGCTTCAACGTAGTTTTCGCGTGAGAAGCGGAGGACGTAGAAGGTCTCTTCACAGGCAAGCGTAACAAGTTCACCAGATTCGGACCAGTACACCTGAGTACACGTTAGCGTTGTTCCTATGCAAATAACAAGGCCAACTCACATTCTTAGGATCAACTTCTATCCTCCGCACCAGAGCACCCGTCTCCCAGTCAAAGAGCCCAATCCCACCTTGACCCCGTACGCCTAATAATACACCGCCGCTCAAACCTTCCGCTTGAAAGCCCACATCAATGCCATTGCCTTTCTCTTTGAAGTTGCTGAAGATCTTGACACTCAAAGCCGATTCTCGTATCGCATAATCATTCGTCTTGGTATTAACGCCCCATGCAAAATCCTGAGCAGACCCGAATGCTTTGTTACGCCAAGCAAGAGCAGTGTAAATAATATACTCACCATCTCCGCAGACAGAGACGAAACGACCATTGGGAGAATGAGTAAGGGTCTGGGGATAGATCTCACAGTTGCCGAGCTCCTTTGATGGCAGGCTTATTGGAGAGCCATCTTTGATAGTTGCATCACCGCCTTTGATCATGGCCGATAGTATCTCGCTGTGCCGAGCCCATATGAGTTTCCCTGAATTGTCCATTGACACAGCTGGCTCTTCACGTCCCATCTTCACTACCACAGCACCATCATCAAATCCCACGGCAACGCCCTGCTTCCCACGCTGGTAGCTGACACACCAAGCTCGTTCCAAGCCATATGTCAGAGACTGCTCTAGTCGGTAGGTATTAGCATGCCATATTTTGACGGTACCGTCTTCCGATCCAGAGATGATAATTGGTAGTTCGGGATGATAGCAGGCGAAAGAGACATTGCTGGTATGGCCTTCGAGAGTAGCGATGAGTGACTTTGTAGTGTAATCCCAAATCTTCACAGTCTGGTCATCCGATGTGGTAAGAAGGTATGGTTTGTCAGCCTGTGGGTAGTAGTCGACGTGATTCACCCCTTTGGTTTCATGCGCTTCCAGGGTGTAGTTTGCATGCCCTGAGCCAAAGCTCCATATCTTGACCGTTCTGTCTAAACAGGCCGATGCAAAAGTGTTCGTGTCCTTTGGGTTTATTGCCATGCCCATAACGTAGTGACTGTGACCCTCATACACCTGCACACATTTCCAACCCTTGTCCCAATCCCATAGCTTTATTGTCATGTCATCTGAGGCTGTAAGAACGAAAGGCTGTGTAGGGTGAACGACAATAGCGCGGATGTAGTCAGGGTGAGCTTCAAAGGAGGTGATTTTCTCGGAGGTATTGTAGTTGTAGACACGGACTTGGAAGTCATCTGAGCCGCACACAATCCAGTTCTTGCGGGCGATGAAGCGCCCTGCTCGTACGGGAACATCGGTGAGCTCGAAAGTTTTGACAATCGCCTATGACATCTCAGCGCACCACCTTGCTGTAAGTAATGCTGGGCCCTACCTGTGTTTCGTATGACCATATGTAAACATGCCCTTCAATCGATTAGCTCTGCTAGCGTCTTGAGCCATCTTCTGGGTGCGAGCGATTGATTCGTACCGCTGTATAGTGTGGTGAGTATCTAGAAGCTGTTAACCTATGCCTGCAATACACGTGTAGCGTGGGGAAAATACCCATGGCTCTGTGGGGTGAAAATCGATGCCCTTGACTCTCTCGGACCTAGCAAAAAGCTGCCTCTGGAGATTCGCGTTGAAGTTAACCATCTTGATCATGGGAGTAATGGTATGTAGCAGCTCTGGAGCTCAGCCAAGCTTACCTTGACGTCTAGACGCATCTTTGCGCCTTGTGCTCAATGCAGGGGAAGGTGCATACGGAGTGCCTCGGGGCGGTTCAGGAACACTTTTGGGAGGGAAGTTGTGATCATCCACAAGTCAACGTTTGAATTACGGCTAGGGTTCAAGTAGGCATCTGGAATAGCAAAAGCTCAACTGTAGGGCGTTGAATTGAATAGCTGGCAGCGGACACATTGGACTTTCTTTCGCAGTCAAAATGCCAAGACTTTGGTCGCTTACACTCAGCCCTATGGCACTGGATCATCAGGGATATCATCTTGTGCCGCTCGCCTCGTCCGTTAGGATAATACCAATGTCATCGACTTCTCCAGAAGTGTGTTACAGGACCTCTTAAAGTACATAACATTTGCTACTAGATTGACATACTCGGAAATGGCAGACTACTCCCTCTATCTGAATGTGGGCTGTCATACAAAAAAGGTCCATCTGTCCCCAAAACATCATCTACTTAGGTCTACTCGTAAACTCGAAGAAAATGAATATGCAGGGTAGACACTATACTCTAGAGAGGGACTAAGGTTTCACTGTCAGATATGGACCAAGACCAGTAGATCTAGAGGAAAAGATGATGAGATTCCATACTATCTATGCACGTTCTAATCCAAACAACCAGTACAAACTATCAATAACCAGTAACGTGATTTCCCAGTCAGCAGAAGTGTCCTCCTTGGTACCCATATCAAATCCTTCGCTCCAAAAATTCACAAGTCACTTTAGCGAGGGGCTGACGGCTCGAAAAGATAAGCAGGCAGCTCTGCAGGTAATTCTGGCAGCATGGCAACAGGTCCAGCATCATGCTCGACACTTCCCCCAAAATTTGCTCGTGCGGCACGGTGAGATGCGTTCCTCCAAGCCACCGATTCGTATTGTTCTGTGCTGAGCTCCTCATCCAAATGTCGGTCTTCCTCATGTGCTTTACGAATTTTCTGCCTCAGCTTCGCTTCGGATCGGTTAGTTGATATCCCCAAAGCTTGTGGCTTCAGTTTGGCTTCGGAGCTTTTAGTTGACACTTTCGAAAGGCGTGGCCAAGTAGCAGTCCCATGTTCTTCGTCGAGCCGACGAGTTTTGTGCTTGCGGAGTTTTATCCAAGCCAAGCCGATCATGGAGAATAGTATGAAAAAAGCAAGGACGAACCACCCGTCGAACTTCCCGCAGGCAAGGCGCTCGTCGAAGCCGGTTGGTGCTTCGCACATAGCAGTGTCGCGTATTGCTAAGATATGCGACTTGGAGACGTCCGCAAGATGGAGTTGGCGGCTTGCGAGGTTATGTGTGGGGTTGATGGTGCGTTTTGTGACGGGACAGACGGCGAAAGTGACGTTGTTGACATCGGTGTTGGTAGCATAGAGCTGGCATTGAGGTGGAATCTCGCCAGGGATGTACAACTTCATGCCGCTAGGGCCGTTGCTCTGGTGAATAGGTATAGGTCCGGTTCGTCTTGATATGGGCTTTCCTGGCGGTGCTTGGGTGGAGCCGATGGAAGGCTCTGGAGGTGGAAAGTTCCCGTGATGTTGTTCCAGGGCCTCGAGCTTGATGCCAGTGGGAGTATCAGCTGTTTCGTCCTCAAGGATAGGCCCGGTGCCGGTGCTCATGGGAGGATCTGGTGGTGGAAAAAGCCCGTGATGTTGTTCCAGGGCCTCGAGCTTGACGCCAGCGGGAGTATCAGCTGCTTCGTCCTCAAGGATAGAGCCGGTGCCGGTGCTCATAGGAGGATCTGGTGGCGGAAAGTGCCCGTGATGTCGTTTCAAAGCCTCGAGAGTGGCACCGGTGGGAGAATCAGCTAAAGTCGAGAGGTTAGCTGCTGCCGCTGAAGCATGTTCCTCAACGAAGGGCCACGTACCTGTGCTCATGGAACGGCTGGGTGAAGGGTAGCGGTCTCGGGGGCGGAAGAAGCCCGGTTTGGTGGTGTTCGAGGCGAAGTCGGCAGGAGAAGTCTCGTTGAGAATTTGGACTGGCTCGCGTCCTCCAGGGGTGGGTGAGGGTGGAGGGGGGAAGTTTGGATGATGGCGCCCCCAAGAATCGGCATACACGGCAGCCTTTTCACCGTCGACACCAGCCTTTTGAGCATCCATAGTATTGCGAACGGAGGAAGCGAGGCGAATAGCGGCCAGATAGGCACTGACGTCCTCTTGGGGGGATGGGTAGAGGGTTATCACGGGACGGGTTTGCGTTGGTGTAGACATGATGGATTTGGGCTTTGGTATTTGAGATGGTCGATGGTCGAGTTGGTGTAGTGTAAGATGGAGAGTTTAGTTCGAGTATCAAGGGGATTAAGTACCCTGAGCTTGAAAAATGAGTATTAAAAAAATTGGAAAAAGGGCTTTTTTTTTCAAATTCTGCCTGTATTGCTTGGCTTCTTGCCCTATTCCGGACTTTGAGAGAGATATCTCCTCTTGGCTCTATTTCACAGAACTTTACCATGAGTCAAAGGATAATGATACTATAATAATGCAATTTTTGAATGATGCTGAGGGAACGATATAAACGTACTGTTTGGCGGACAATGGAATCTGACTTCTCTGAAAGTACAATTTGGAGCACAGCGGGCTAACACATTCAACAACACGCAAGTGAGAAATGAGCCAGTGCCGTAATATCACAAGTCACGGTCGTGTCAAACACTTCCTACAAAGCAGTCGAAAGTTGTCACACAACTCTGTTTTCGATATCAGCCCCATCGATTTTGACACCTGCTCGGGCACGCCTACACTCGCCATCTTTACTTTGATAGTCACTGTGATTGTTATTATCTTCATCGTCAATTGTTTCCTCATAGGCAAACATCAAACCGGGGACAAACATGAGCTCACAATACCTGAAAAAGGTCAAGAGTCAAGGTATGGAGGGGAAATTGTCTGAAGCGATTGACGGGACAATGAACACTTCGGAGGATAATCTCAACGACAGCCTCGACGATGTGTTAGACCCTGACCGTACATCAACCAACGGTGAGATAACGGACTTATATCACTTACGTAAGAAGGCAAAAGTGGCGCACGCTCCATCCTCATCTTTTGAAGCATCTTCGAACAAAACCGACAGCGCGGACTCAAATACATTGAACAGCAGCATCTATTCAAATGATTATAATGCAGCCAATATCTTGCAGTCCTCACAATCACGCATATGCCCGGAGAAACTCTCATCCGGACGTCAAAGCACCACTGCACCAGAGGAGTATCTCGCGAAAACGGTCCATAGCATCTCAGAATATGAGGCCTCTGACGATGAACTACTAAGCCCTCCTGCATCAGAAACCTTTCACGCCAAATATCGCAAATCCAGTCCAGACCTCATGACCCTCCATATGTTCACTGGAAAGATGAATGGGAAGACCCCAATCTATGTGCCTGTGTACAAGCGGAACAATTTTGGCAAGCTATTGAAGCTGATGGAGAGGTGGTCCGGGCATTGGGAGTATATGGAGCTGAAGAAGTTGACGGAGGAGGAGCTTGACGCAGGATTGAAGACCTTGGAGAAGCCTAAGGCCGAGGTGGTCGTGCAGAGTTCAGAGCCTAAGAAAGCAGTGGGCGGTCGCAAGCTGGCAGATTTTAGCCTTCGAGAGACGAAATCGAATGGCGGCCGGGATTGGCTTTGAGGTAGTCGGAAGAGAGATGTATTGCTGATGGACAAAGGAATAGTGATGATCTGAGGACTACTGCTAAACGGAAGAGCGTCGTTGAGAGACAAGGCTTGCTGCTAGACTCGAGGATTAGACGTCAATAAATGTGAATGCACTGACTCAACCCCAATCTTGCATATTTTAAAGCAGGCAACGGTAGATCTTTATCACGCCAGATTGCAATGCAATTGAAATGTCTTCTTGCAAAGACAAGGGGTTACGAAGCGCACTTTAATCTGCTTTCACAGTACAGAAGCCCCGTATCAGAAAAGCGGCTTCAGTGCTTAGGCTGCTTTGACTCTGGCATGTACTTGTAGGCGTTGAGGTAAGAAGCCGCCACACACAAAATTTGCCTTCGAGATGATGGTTGTAATGTTCGAAATCCGGTAATCCTGCCAATCTTGAAATAGAGATTGTCAATTGACATAGGTACTAGTACACCGCCAATAGGGCGATCGAACCTTGACTTCAGAATAGCGAAGAGAGCCCCGTGTCGACAGCAACTTACCCTGCACTTTACGCCTGCGATCCCGAGGAAGGACTTGCTGACAGACTGAATCTTCCGTGACTAAACGCTTGAGATAGTGGTGAATTTCTTTTCTGGGAGATGCCTAAAGCTAGACCTGACCGCACCTCATAAGTGTTCTCGAATTCTGTGAGCCCTTGACATAGAGAGGCACCCAGACGGAAGATTGCTCTCGTCCATAGGTATTCGCCTACCCGTTCACGTGAGCAGGAGGGCAGCCTCCAGGCATGTATTGCTCTTACCCCTCGACCTCTCAAAGTGCGTCTAACATGTCGGTGGCTCAGCTGCAAAGGTCTCCCATGGTATTAGAGGATGATGAACAGCCAAGGCTCCTTCCTCCAGGGAAGACTGGCTCACAGGGAAGACATGAAAGTTGTAAACGTTCCGGTCAACTATACGACTCTCTCCATGTTTTAAGCACAGAGAACCTTTTGGATAGTGTCCCAAAGGAAAGGCGAACAGACTGGCGTGTGAAAGGCATGGCTATGCCACCAATGCAATGCTAGGTACAATGCGAGGCATCATGATCCGGGCTCAGGCATACAAGGCAACGGAGCTAGATGAGTATCCTGCACACATGGACTACGGCAGACAGATTGAAATACAGAGCGTCGAGATGGAGAGGCAGAGTGGAGAGTTTCAGATGTGCGTTTGGCAGCAGTGTCTCAGGCCTGCTGTCTCGCCTGCTTGCTTAGTCATGCCATCGATCGAGTAAAGTAGTTAGTCATGCATTGAGGAATGATGGATCTTAGATCTGTTCGATTTGCTTACCATCCGAAGATAAGAGGGTTATCCTTTCCTCCACACATCAGCTGGCGGAGTGCAGAACTGTAGCGCGATAAGTGGAACCTTTACTGCACATTTTGATCTACTGGTGAAATAACCGCACATTTCTTGGCCGGGACAGATCAGATCAGGTGTGCAGAAGGGTATCGATCATGGGCAAAGTTTGAGATTCGTGGGGTAGCAGTCAAAGTAGCAGGAAAGCGGCTTTCTCAATCTGACGGTTTAAACATTCAGATAATTTGCGGCTTTTTTTTCGTACAAGGTCCTTGGCCAGTAGTATTTTGTGAGAGGCTGGAGAGGCTGCCGGACAGCTTTGCTTATGCTGCTATGAGATGCACTAGAAACTAGAGTGGTGGAGTAGCCAGGAATGTCCGAAGTCAGAAATTTGAAAAGACAGAGGCGGTTATACTGGCGCAAGACACTGACGTATCTCCTGCGATCCCGGAGCAACTTCCGGTAGCGCATTGTTTACAGTCTCTCCCACTCTCCATTCTCCATTCTCCATTCTCCATTCTCCATTCTCCACTCTCCACCATGGCCCCAACGGCTCGACCAAATGTCGATACATACATGTAGGTAAAAGCACTCGATGAAAAAGAACATGTGGGTTTCCAGGCTATTCTTCATTCAATTTTACTACTGGGCCGGCCACTGAGTTCTCGCATTCTCCTTCTTCTTTTGCTGCCTTCTTCCTCCTCTTCTTCATCATCCTATTCTTCCACCTCGACTTCAATAACTACATCCACCCGTGGTCGTAAAGGAACGAGGTCTGGTAGGAGTTCTGGCAGCTATGAGGGAGTAGGGTGATCGTGTGGCTTCTTCCCCTGCCAGCTGAGACTGTCGCGATGCTGGTTTCTTCTGCTCTTACGCTCAATTTCTCTTTCTGCTTCGTCAATCATCGCGACCAAGCCGTCAACTAGGGCTCGGCATTCAGTATTACACCTGGTCAGTATCACTGCAAGTCTCACGCAAGAACCATAAGGTCAGCACTGCGCCACATGCCATCAATTTTGGTAAACCACCTGCATCACCTTGACCAACCCTAGGGTATCTGCCAGTGCGCTCAGCGGCCCTCCTACGCTATGCCCGCAAGATCTTAAGAATGCCAAAATGTTGCCCGCCCTGCTGTCTTCTACCCCGTTCATTTCGCCGTCTCTGTTCCTCATCATCATCAAATTCGTTCATGTGAATTTCCGACACCTGCGCACTGCCGTCGCCACTGCTTCGATCCCACCACCAATGCTTCACGACCCCAGGTGATCTTTGTCCGCCAGGCTTCTGCCTGTGCATCAGTCGTTCAATAGGCTTCCAATTTGCATATACCTTCCACTGGAACTCGAACCCCGCCGACCCTGTCCAAACGCGGCCACCACCTGTCGCTGCCACTCTCCAGGCCAGTCTTTGGCAATTTCAGGGTCGATTCGAGGAAGAATCTGATCGAGCGGCTGTGTGTAGGATAAGCGGGTACATGTATCCAGGATGTCATCCATAACATAATGGTCGAATGAACCCATGATAGCTCTCATTTCGTCTGAGAGTTGTACATCACATTCCTCAGCCGTCTGGCAGAAGAGTGACTGAAGTGGGCCGCACAACGCAAATCCGGCACTAGTCTGCTGCAATACCTCCAGGCAGAACTCCACCGTATCTGAAGCTGGAGGCTCCTGTGGTGAAAAGCGCACAAGACCATCACAAACATGGACAAGGCAAAAAGTCAACAGAGGCATGAAAAAGCGTGCCGAGTAAAGGCGTCTCGCATGTGCAAGGAGTTCAACGCTGCTTCGAGCGTGGAATACAACGATACGAACCAACTCAGCATGATCGTCGGGAGAAAACAAGCCGCAGTGGAGAAGCGGGCTGACATGCTGCACCAAAGCAGTGTGATATTGAACGCTAGAGACAGTCAGCGCATACTCCAAGCGTTCGAAAGTAGAGACCTACTGAAGATACAGTATATGCGGCAAGGGCTGATCCGCCACGTCGACGTTCGCAATCACGGACGGCAGGTCCGTCTTCCAGTCCATGTACCTTCTGTATACTTCAAGAAACTTTTCGGCTGATATATTACCTCGAGCACCGCAGTACAGGTTGAGACTTTCATCGATAATCCGGAACAGCCCCGCTTGATAGCAAGCTGCCACGATCGCATAGCTTGGTCGAGTCGGAAGTTCACGCTCATCACCTGGATGTCGGTAGAAACGCCACAGAGCGTGATCTCTATCCATATTGACGTGTCGGAAAATAGCCTC